TCCCTTTTGTTTCTACAGAGCTGTCAGAGGTACTTTGGACCATGGTGATGCACAACGGGCTCAGCGGCAGTGGCTGGACAGGCCTCATTGTCATCTTCATTATCTTTGCAGCATTTGCAGTGCTGACAGTGGCCATCCTGCTGGTCATGGAGGGGCTCTCTGCCTTCCTGCATGCCTTGCGTCTGCACTGGTAGGTGGTGTGGTCTTCTGGAGGTTTCTTGGAGCAGTCTTTGGAAGGGATCAGGCTGTGGATACAGGTGACGCCGTCAGCCAGTGTTAGACATGCTGTACTAGTACCTGTGCTTTAGAACATCAGTTGCTTTTGGCAAGTGAAGCAAGGGAGACTCCTCCAAAGGGAGGTCAGAGCTCCCTGCTCTGAGCTGCTCCCTGGAGCAACCTGCTTGTCCTCCTGTGCCTGTGGTGGCTGTGAGCATGTGAGGCCAGTGGCAACCTGCAGTTCTGTCCTGGTAAATGTGCAGAGCCAGCAAGGCCACTTTGACCTGCATGACAAGGCTCAAAGGCTCTACAGCCCCACCACTGGCTGTGTATCCCACCCAAGGTTACCATCAAATAAAATTACTGTCAAAGGTTATTGTCAAACTATACAGCTAGGACTGCCTAGGGCAGGAAGAGTTCAGCTGGGGGCACAAAACCTGATGAAAACCTGGGTCAGCGCTTGTACCATCAGCTCAAGTTGAGCTCCAGGCTGGTTTGGCTTTGTGGCAAAGCAGTTTCAAGTTAGCTTATATCTGCCTTAATTGGATGTCAGTGCAGGCAAAGACAGCAGTGCAGATGCACTGTCAGGCTAGTATGTAAGCAAGACCAAGGTGGCAAAACACCCTTTACCACCCCCATAACTCATCTTCCTGCCTGAGCAGCCAAACTGTGGTTTTTTTCATCATGTAATGTCCCACCATAAACCACAAACACTGACAAGGAAAACCATGGTGCAGGTGCTTGTCATTGTGCAGGGCATGGGAGATGTCTGTCTCCCACCACAGTGTTAAATCAGCAGGTAGTTATCCCAGCTCTCAGAACTGCTGGAAGCAGGTTACCAGGCAGGCAAGGTTCTGCTGACTGGCCTCACAACAAGCGTTTCCAGGCTGGCTGATGGAAAGTCTAAGCTGATGCATGCCAGGTTGCTCCCTGGGCTGCCCGTGTCTCACTGCTGGCTCCAGAAAGAGCCTATGTCCTGTCTCAGAGGCCGCTATCTATCGTGGCCTCCCTCTTCCCATGGGTGCCATGTATAAGCCTCTTGGCTGCCGGTAGATCCTGCCCGTGAGCAGCACTGATGCCTTCCTCTGCTCCTCCCCAGGGTGGAGTTTCAGAACAAGTTCTACGTGGGAGCCGGGTACAAATTTTCTCCATTCTCCTTCAAGCACATCATCAATGGCACTGCAGAAGAGTGAAGCCAGTGCATCACTGCTTCACTCCTCAGACCAGGCTCTGTTTCCTTGTGGTCGCTCACCCACAGCGTAGAGTATATGGGATGAAAGAGAATGGGATGTGGCCCTTGAAAGAAGAGCAGCTGCAGATGAAAATGTAATAGCTACATTCCAATATACTGCTGTATCAGCTGAGAGCTGAACTGTATCAGCTGAACTGTATCAGACCCTCAGCTGAGTGTCTCCACTGATGTCCTTTGCCAAGTACCTGGTCCTCAGCATTTGATGAGGTCAGCTGCCTACTGCTTGGTTGAAAAGAGGAGATGCAGCTTTTGAATTAAACCAGTTATTAAACAATCAACTCACACGTGTTTTGCTCCATTTACTGCCTTGTCTTTGTGGTATATTTCTTTCAGAGGAAAATATGTTTTGGCTGTTGTTTTAAGCTGTGGTTGATCATGTGACATGATTAAGTCCCTTACAAGATTGTAGCCCGTCATTTAGCACACAATGCAAACCAGCTCAAAGACAGATTGTATTGCAGGCTTGCAATTTTCTACATGCTTTATTAGGATATCCTTCTTTTTATTTTATTTTCTCCAGGGCTTGACAGCACTGGATTATAGATGTTTGCACACATCATCACTTAACAAAAGTGTTAGTTTTGAGCTGTGTAAACAAAAGACTGCACGCATTTCAACATTTTCAGCCATTTTATTTATCTCTGTTGGCTTGTTTCTCACTGGAGACTTAGGTGACTCCTCCTGTGCTGTATTTTTCAAGATAGGTTGTTAAAGCAGATTGTGTAGAAATGCTAATGCCTAATGAACAGAAAGAAGAGTGGAATCAAAGCAGTTGACGTGAATTTGAAGTATCGAGGTACTGTGATCTTCCTAAATATTTATGAATTACTAATCTTTCAAACTGAATAGTGTTAATCAGGCTATGTTTTTTTTAGCCATGAAGTATGCAAAGAAAGCAGAGCACGCCAATGGATTTGGAGTGGACAGGGCTCCCTTTCATGGGGTGTGACCAAACAAGCCCTTATTTTCAAACCTCACACCCTTGATATCCAGCTCCACCAAAAAAAACAACCTGGGAGTGTTCCCAGCAGGACACACAGTGCAATAGTCATCACAGGTAATATTTCTGCAGTATTCAGGCTTGAGAGTCACCTTCAGCTACAGCGACAGGGGAGAAAATACAGCCCCAGGCAAAGCAGTTGTTCTAATTTTCTCTTGTGGTCTCAAGAAGCCGCACTGATGTTGGGCATTGGTTGCCAACAGAGCCACGAGCCTTTTTCAACAACAGCTTGGGTTAGGAGCAGCAGCTGGAGCTGAGAAGAGGTGGGCATGAGAGTGTATCCATGACTCTTGCATGTGTCTTGCATGTGTCACCAGTTCTTTGGGCGTGGGTAACCTACAATACAGACAAAAACCACATGGATATCACTGCAGATGGTGTCACAGTTGCTCAGTGTATGCTCATCATCTTTGTTTCTTCCTTCCAGCCTGTTTTGTTTATTCTTATTCAGGAGAAAAGCAGTCTTGCAGCAAGAAAGGCCAAAGTAGTTTGATGCATTACCAAACACAGAGAAAATCATTTGCTTTATGAAACAGCGGGTGAATTTTCTGCACAAACGCACATTTTATCTTTATTACACCTTTCCACGTGATTGCAAGGTAACTGAGAAGGTGATTACCAGAAACAGAATACCCGTTCCTTTTAGAGCTTCTTGGTGCTTTGCTTTTTGTCTGAAGTTTACATTTTCAGCAAGAAAAGCAAGTTATCCTGTGATTACTGCAGGTGATGAGATGGTCTGTTGTTTACTGTACTGAACAGCCATTCAAAAACTGGGCTTAATTCCGTATTCAGCTCTCTTTTTCTGTGCACAACTGAAAAACACAGCAGAGCCTGTGTCTCACTTGAGCATTTGTGATAGAGGGATGGCACTTCCCCACTCCACAAGTGGACCAAGCCCACTTATAATCAGGGAGCATTCAGATGAAATATTGCTGAGAGGCACAGTTGCACTGATACACTTTGAGGAGAGCCCTGGCTTTCATCTGGGGTTTTTGAAGAATTCTTTAAAAACCCAGAAATGTTCCAGAGAGTGCCTTGTTTTTCAAAGGTTTTCCTGCAGAAGATAAGGGGGATTTTGAAGCAGAGCAGAGCAGTGGCTGCTTGTTTCCCTGTACAGCTGCTAAGCTGAATGGGACCATGTTTTCTGGCTGTTTCTGTGACTGTGGCTGTCGCATGTGGTCAGGTCCAGCAGAGACCACTGTTAGAGACTAGTAGGCCTTCTTGGTACAACAGCCCAATGACTTTATCTAAACTTTGCCCATTGCTGGAGGTGTGACCTTACCCAAGCCAGGGCCTCAGCATGTCCCACTGCGGCAGACTCGGGGTTGGTGCCTAGGGTGGAATGGGTGCTTCTGGACCCAAAGCTCATCCTGTGGCTAAGGAGTTGTTTGTTTCTGAGAATTGGTGAGATGAGTTACATCATTTTGTAGGAAACGAACATTAAAAAGGCCTCAGTGAATGACCATGTAGGAAGGGAAAGGGATAGCAAAGTAAAGCAAACAGTTTTCAGTCACCCGCACTCATTCTTTCCTGAGTTTTTTACTCCTTCTCATGAGAGCTATTGCTGTGTGTGCCTAGGCCCTCCTGCCAGGACAACTTTGTGATGTGGAAGATGAAGAAAGTATCGAGAATTTTGGGTATTGAGTTTTTGTCCAGTCCCTTAGGTCCTCTGGGCTGGTGATGATGAACTGGCTTTTGGACTGAGCTTTTATAAACTCCAGGAGTCAGTTTCTTGGAGTCTGGCCTCTGGCTCCTGCAGCAAACAGCACTTTCCTCAGTGTTTACGCAGATGATGGCCCTCCATCATGTCCTTGGCCAGCATGGAGACCTTTCTTTTTGCTCTCAGTCTTTTATTTCTTCTGGACCTTTCATGCATGTAGACATTTCCATTTGTGCTTTATTCTGACCAGCCTTTGCCTTTCCATGACAAATAATTAAAATACCATAAGGTCGCTGAAAAAAAATTATAGGCACAGTATCCCTCTGTGCAATCCAAAACACCTGGGCCTGAAAGCACATCTTCATGGCTTAGAATTTCACTGGTATTTTGGTTGTTTTTTCCTTTCTGTGCTGGGAAGCTGGAATGCTGAAACATCTGTGCCCTCCTGTGATTGCACGCACACTGTCTCAGATTTTGCAATGAAAACAAAATGGTATGGATCTGGCAGCCTGCATCATGCATGCCATTCAGCAGATGCCAATAACAGTTGAATATTAGATATTATTAAGAAGAAGAGATAAAATAAGCCTGTGAAATAGCATATGTTGGCTGGTAGCAAATGTCTTCCAGGTGCTTGGAAGCATAAGATTTAGCATGGGAGTTACATACTGTGATAAAACTATTGCAGCATTGCTGCCAGCTCAGTGTACATATTTCAAAACAGAAGGATTTTGGGAACCCTCATGAGAGACAAAGAAAAAAACCTCCCAGCATCTTTGCTGGCTTATACCAATGTCAACATTGAGTAGTAAAGGTAGACACATACATTCCTAGTCAAGAGCCCATAGCTGTCATAGCATTGAGATTTGCTGCACAACAAGGTTGGGATCACTGTGGCTGTTCAAACCATGAATGCTCCCTGCATTTTTCTATTTGGTCAGGAAATTTAGAAGGATGAAGCAGATGAACTGACCTTATTTTTCTCATGGTGCTGGCGTCAGAGTTGGATTCATCTGGCCTAAGGAGGGCTGGTGGCTGCAGCGCCCAGCCACTGCTCATGGCTTTGCAGGGGATGGTAAAGGTGCCTTATATGGGCACTGATGCTGCAGGAGCTGCCTCTGAAACCCATCAGCTTGAATCTAGCTGGTGTTGCAGTAGGGGTCTCCTCAGCATCCTCCCTCCGTCTACTTTGGATCATTCTTACAAAAAGGGATGGGCAAGTACCAACACCTGTGGTGGGCAGCACCTGTGGAGGACCTGTAGATGCTATGGGAAAAGCACAGATCAGCACTTGGGCACTCTGCCTGCAGCACCTATTTCTGGGGGTGGAGGCAGGTGGAGAGGGACGTGCCCGTGCCCAGCAAGGAGGAAACCTGACTCCTGGGAGCTGGATCCCAAACCCACAGCACCACCAACACTGTAAAAAGTAAATACCAGAAGAGATACAGTCCTAAAGGAGGAAAGGTCTGCTCCTCCGTGCCTGAGACACCGCAGAGGTAAGAAAACCTCACCGAGTAAATAAATAAATATTTAATCAAATCTTGCTTAATAGTGGGGGGTATCTGATCATTCACCTCTGAGGGAAATTCTCACAAGAGGGAGGTCTCTGACTTTACTGACAAAGTTCCCAGCTGGTGTCACATGCAGAAGTGCATGTTGTGTGGCCTTCGTGCCTCACAGCCCTCTGGTGTGGGCTCATGTCATCATTCCGACGGGTCCCAGCAGCAGTTTCACTGCGCTCGTGGTTGCTCCCTTCAGATGGAGGATTGTTATTTTCCCTGCCAGCAGCAGCTTTGTCACTGCTGTTCTCCTGGCTCATGTAACTGGCATTTAGGAATTGGGAATTACAAATAGTGGGAAATTTGTGACTCCCTGAAGATGCATGATAGACACTAGCTGTTCCATTAAGGCAAACAGGGCTGCAAAGGTTTGGCATGAAATCCTAGGTTTGGTAGGAACTGTTAGGAGGTTTACTGTGCCTGCAAAGATTTCTAGTGTTATTTGAGATGCTAGAGAATGTATCCCATCTGCCTGCTATTTGAGTAGTGTGGTTCTCCCATTAGGTGCTATCCAACATCCCGATACCTCTGAGGGTGTCTGTCTCCTGTCAGGTATTGGAGGTGGCACTGCAGCCTTCTGCTTGAGCATCTGACCCTCACTGGTGGTTCTGTACAGCAGCACCAAGGACTGGGGTTCCCTCCCCTTGTCTGGAAGAGTTGTGGCACTTCCCAGAAGGAAGGCATATGGCCCAGAGTAGGTAAGTGCCGACGAAATGTTCCAACATCCCTCAGCAAAAATTAGCAGAGCATCCCAGCATCAGGATGGGTGGACAAAGGCCCAGGGCTTGATCCTTTTTCTGCCAACACCCTTGGCATGCCTGCCACAGGCTTTTGGGAGAGTAGCTGTTTACCAGAGGTGTGATGTGGCAGCTTAGAATGTGTTTGCAGGTCCCTAGTTATAAAGTAACAGAAAAGGAGAAAAACTGGTGCCCAGATTTTGTTATTGCAAAACCTTTTGCAATTCAGCCACACAGTAAATCTTCACCTCTTCTTGTGGGCTCTTCCAAGCACCTGTTTTGATTTCTGTTGAGCTGGTTCCACTTGGAAATGGTCCCTAGCTGTTGGCCATCATGGTCAGCTGGTGGCACTGTGTGCTGCTGCCAGCTATTGCTGCCTCTGAGGACACTGTGAGACAGATGTAAGCAATATCCTACACATCCTCTTGCACGCTGGACTGTAATGATCTGTAACAGCAAGGTCAGCGTATGTGATCTGACTGACTAATCTGCCATTAGCCCTTAATGACCTCCTTGTGACTGCACCTCAGTATAATGCTTTCAAGGTATTCAGCTTGTGAGTACTGTAACTCCATACTTTCCATGTTTGTGCTGCCCTCCACCTCGGCTGGGGTTTTGTACCTTTCGTTAGATGCTCTTGGCCTTTAATTCCCTCCAGCTCTCCCCCTGCTGCAGCCTCCCCAGTGCTGGTTTGCTGTGAGTTCTGCCTGGGCCAAGCCCAGCACCCCTACAGGGAGGTAATCAAAGCAGAAGGTGTCATCAAACTGAAGACATGTTGAGCCCCCCCACCCCAGTGTCTAAGCATTCACTCAGCAGAAAAGCTTGTGGGTTTAAGCCATCAGTGTGCTTAATCCCTGCCCTGGGATTAAAGTGAGCTTTTCTAATGAGGAAAAGGAAGTGATGAGGCCAAGGGATCTAGCACTGGAAACCAGAAACACCAGCAGAGGCAGCCAGGTTCTCCCTGTCACAATCCATGGCTGTGTTTCTTGATACCCTGAGAGGATGGGGATTAGCGCTGCAGGGGGTGAGGCACAGGATCAAATTTGCAGCAGGAAGTTGTGTGTTGGCAAGGTGCAGGCTGGGTGAGGAGGAGTTTGGGCTAGCCATGGCATCTTCAAGCAGCCGGGGTTAGGAAGTTGGATGGGTCACCTGGCTCTGCCCCACTGGGGGCTCCCATCAGGCCGAGCAATTACAGGGTGCAGCATCTCTACTGCCCTCGCAAACCCAGCACCCACAGGGGAGCCTCTGACAGGGACAACCCCCTACTAGTCATATCATGTCTTGGCTCTTGGAGATGCAGCATCTTTCAGACTGGCTCTGCATTTCATTGACCTCTGGGCTAGGAAAGTCATCACATGCTCTCTTGTGTGAGCAGGTCTCTAGTCTTCCCTAAGGCAGTCCCTGAACTTTCCATAAAAACAGCCAGTGCAATGTGATGACTGATCTCTGTCAGTTCAACTAACTTGCCTTGTGAAGTTTCTATCTGTTCTTCACCAAAACCACGATGGGAAGGGATATCTCCCAGTAGCTGCATGAAACAAACTATGTTTGACCATATCCGAATGTTTCCACTCCAGCACAAGAAACTGCCTTGCTGTCTTGTTGTGACTGTCCAGAGGTTTCACAGTTAAATCCTAGCCTTGTCTCACGTTGATGGTGGATCCCAGCAGGAGCTGAGATGGCCACTGCACCAAAAGAGGCAGAAAATGCTATTGGTTTGGAGGAAATCCACACAGAGAGAAAAGAATCGCCAAAAGGTGGGTTTGTATTGGCAGGACTAGAAATCTGGGTCCTCATTTAGCTGGGGTAGGGGGAGGGTCCTCAGTCCTGCTACTCCAGCTACCTAAATCCTCTGTAACTGGAGCCACAAAGAGCAGCATCATACCACTCCTCTCTTATCACAGCTACCAGGCTGGTGACTGCTACCTACAGCAGTGGGAAGAGCTGGCTGGTTTGGCTTTTCTCAGGCCTCTGCTTTGTGTGAACATTTTATTATATTGGTGATTTGATGACTCACTTATTTTGGATATTATTTTTTTTAATTTTATTCTCTTTCAAAAGTATTTTAAAGTGAAAAAAAATGTTGAAAAGCATCTAAAAGGGCCTGCTTTTGCAAAAAAACCCAATTTCTTCTGAAATTCTGCAGTCAGTTCTGTTTCATTTCAGAGGCAATCTCGATGGGCTTGAGATTACTTATTTGGAAATATATGGCCTGACAGAAAAATTTATGCAGCTCTGACTTTACCTAAGTAAGAGTTTGAAAGTATTCATGTAGTGAAATCTTTCTGCCAAGTCTGTTTAGAAGGGTGACCCAGCCCTGATCTTGAGATGCTTCTTTTGACCATTAAATGGGTTAAGTGGGGAGGGCGGAGGAGAAGTCAGGAATAAAGGTTTAGGGGATGAAACTGAGCCCAGAGCTCAGAGCTGTGCTCATCTTGCAGGACTTGGGCCTGGGGCAACCCTCAGCTCACACTACCCATGCTGGGAGAAGGACTGTATCCCAGAAGTGCAGAAGGGCTGAGTCTCACAGCAGTTTGGGCAGGGGAAGGCAGTAGACCATTGCCCAGATGCAGTCCAAGCCATAGGTTTCTGAAGCAGCTGGGGTAACTCAGTGCAAGGCTGTCCTTCCTCTGTTACCACTGGCTGCTGTTTCAGCAACCACTTGCCATGCCTGGCCACCAGAACGCCCAGGGGCTGGTCAGTGAACACACAACTGGTGGATGTTTCCAGTCTTTTTACTGGTTCATTGCTACAGGAGCATGAAAAACGTTGACATATCATGAAGAGGAGGTACAATTTGACTGCTGACAGTTTTTGTTTCTCTATTTCCCTTTGGTGTTCAGGGCAGAAGACATTTACAGTGGAAGAAGCTGTGGAAACCATTGGGTTTGGGAGGTTCCACATCATGCTCTTCCTCATCATGGGCAGCACTGTGGTAGGTATCTGCAGCCATCTGCACTGGCCTGAAAAAAATGTTGTTATTTCCCTTATTACTGTGCAGTAATAACCATAAACACTGGGAGCACATACTGTAGCCCATTTTTTTTCCACACATACCTTCTCAAGTAGGTTTTGTGCTATTGTCATCTTTGGCCAAAGTACATATTGGCCACATGGATATCACACCTATTTCAGGGCAAAGTTGAGTAGGATGGCCCAAAGCATGGTGGCTTGGCTCCTGCCCTGAGGCACTGTCAGGGCATGTCTTCAGTAGTGCCTGAGGGCTAGGTTCAGCCTCAGGGCTAGGTTTCCATGTCATCCCTATGGTGCCCAAATACTGTGTAACACAGCACAGGAGATCTGCCATCTTCTCACCCTTGGCTACCTGAAAAGTTTCCTAACTTTCACGGTCTTTGGTGAATGGTGTATCTGGTTTGAGAACTTGGGCAAAAGCCTGAGGCCAGGCTGGGGTAAAGATGTAATGAGGGTATATTCAAGAGAATCACTGCAGCTGAGGCATAGAAGTCTGTAACTATGTGTAAACAATAGCCTCACTCCTAACTGAAGCCAGCTGCTGGGGCAAACAGCCAATGGACCTATGAAGTTTTTAATCAAAAGCAGTTTTAAGAGTTCATCTCTATGTTAGATTCCTGAATTCACGGTCAGCTGCCTAACCAAGCAGATTCATTTCCAGAGGTAGTTGAAGGTCTTCCACTAGCACAGCAGGATAAGAATCTCCTCTGCCAAGGACTGACTCTTTCCAAACTTCCTAGATACAGGGTGTACTCACCTGCTTTCTAGGTGCACTTTTCTCCCCTCCTCTCCCTGTTGCCAAGTGCTTGCATCTTCCAGATCAGGCACAGGGCTCAGACCACTGTGGAGGCACCATGGCTTCACAGAACTCTTTTGACACTGTGGGACTGCCAAGGCTGCAGGCTTGTAGGGCTGAGGGACTTTCCCCTGTGGGCTCTTTCTGGTTTCCCTTCTTACTAACAGGTACACTTATTTCCAAAGGTGGCTGAAGCCATGGAGATCATGCTAATAGCTGTTGTGTCCCCTCTCATCCGATGTGAGTGGCAGCTTCAAGACTGGCAGGTGGCTTTAGTCACAACGGTGAGTGACTTGTGTTTCCCTCAGACAGGTTATCCACCATGTGGTCACTGTCAGGGCCTTTGTAAAGTACACTTCCCAGTGGGCCAAATAAATTCCTAGGGCCTCCTTGCAGGAATAAGAACAGTACTACAACTGTAGAAAACCAGAAATCAAGCTGACAAGAGCAGATGTCCATTCACAGAGTTGTAATGCCAAGCAAGTCCCCACTTCCATATTCTTATTTTGATGTCCTTGCCATCCATCCCCCAGCTTTGAGGATTGAGGGAGTGAGTGCCCACACAAAGGTAGTCATCCCCTGCAAGCTGCCTTATTCATGGTTCTGGGCACTGCAGTTCATCCTGTGACCCTGGGAGCATGCAGCTCACCCACAGTTCAAAGAGTAGAGCTTCCCAGTGCTCCTGGGAGTGGGACCTCCACAGCTGTATTTCAATTCCCCTTAGATGGTGTTTTTTGGCTACATGGTCTTCAGCATAGTGCTCGGGCTCCTGGCTGACAGGTACGGCCGCTGGAAGGTGAGTGAGTGCTGGGGGCTGTACCACCTTTTCCTGAGCTCCACGGGAGCCATGCACCTGGCTGAGCCTATGGTTTGATGACCCTAATTTTTCCCCTTTTGCAGATTCTGCTGCTCTCATTCCTCTGGGCAGCCTACTTCTCACTGCTGACCTCATTTGCCCCGTCCTACATCTGGTTTGTGTTCCTGCGGGCCATGGTAGGAGGTGGCGTGTCGGGTCACGCGCAAGGGTAAGGCTGTGCCTCATGCCTTGTGGCACGGGCAGTGGCAAGCTCACCTTCCCAGGGAACTTAATGGAGGCACTGACGGGCCCTGAGGGGCTGAGTTCCTGGGTTTACAGCAAGACATTTACAGCTCATCTTGGCTGACCCTGGTGAAGTGCCGGGTCTCCATGCACTGAGCCCAGTGAGCTGTGGCTGAGCTGTGACCTGAAGGCGATGGTGGAGCAGGGGCCTTCAGGGGGGCTGGAAAGGGGAGAAAATTCCCATATCACCAAAATGCAGTTCTGTAACTTCACTAAATCTTGGTTAATTGACCTAATTTGCAGTTCCCAGGGACTCCTGAGGCCTGGGAGAAGGGGCAGCTGGTTTACATTAAATTGGTGACAGAGGTATTATTAAGCACATATAAAAACAATTAGACAGGTAACAGAAGAGTCAAGGCTGCTTCCTTGTAAAAAAAAAAAGTCACAACAGTTCTGCTTAAGTAGCAAATTCTTTTTGAATTATGTAAAACGTTCCCACTTAAATGAAACTTTTTGTCCTGTTAGGGCAGAAAGGGAGATGTGATGGGGAGAGGAGAAATTCACAATATTAACAACCACTTCACTAGGAGCCTGGTAAAAAACCTATTTTGCCTCTCTCAGGGAAACAAAAGCAACATTTCAGCATCTTCCATGGTTCCTCAAAGCCTGGTTGCTTCCCACACAGGAAAGCCCAAAACTGTTCATGTTGGTCTGAGTGCCCTTTGCTGAAGTAGAGGAAGGAAAATGGGGGAGAGATCTGCTGTTGTGACGAGAAGGCACCCCGTGCCTGTGTCATGCATCCGCTCAAGCCCCTGGCACTGCCTCCTCACAGGAAGGTCCCCATTCCCTGGCCATGGAGGCCGCTGATGAGCCTCATGAAGATGGAGGGAAATCGCACATTTTATGAAACACTTCACCAGCTGAGACAGAAAGAGCCAACGTGGGTCTTTCCCGACCTCTCTCTCTGTCCAGCCAAGGAAGCACAATTCACACCTGTGAGCTTGAGAGGTGCCAGTGCCAGGACCCCTCTGCACCAAGGGCTATCGAACCATTTAAAAAGTGGAACAGAGTGTTGTCTTTATTTAATGAAAATAAAATTCACTAAAACTGTTTGATTCTATGAACATACTCTGTGCCTATGCTGGCACTTCGATCAGCCCACAGGACCTTCTTGTAGGTTTCCTAATGCACAGACTGCAGCGTTTACCTGCTTGTACCCTGCAATCGTGGGCTGGAAAGGATTCATGCCTTGTGTTTCCCTTGCATGTAATTCGGTGCCTACCTGAGTGGAAGGCACAATGAGCAGGGATTCCTCGTCTCTGGGTGCTCAGTGGTGGAAGGGAGATGGTACTCTGGCTATAGTCATCGATGTCCAGCACTGGCTGAGCTGAGCTGAACTGTTACTTGATTTGTATGGAAATTCTCAGTGTTGCTATATTTCTGCATTTTTTTCCTTTTTTTGCTAGGCTTATCATAAAAACGGAATTTTTGCCCACCAAATACCGAGGATACATGTTGCCCTTATCTCAGGTAAGAAGAGTGAGCCTGTTACTGTTTTTTCTAGCTGTGAGTCCCAGGAGATTTGTCCCACTGATGTTGGGAAGCCAGGTCTCCAGTGCATCAGCGTTTCTCCCAGACTGTTCACACCTGTCTGGATCTGAGTGAGTGTCTGCTGCCTCCTGCATCCTGGAACGTGGCATCTGTGTTACTAAAGACATATACAGGCAGCTGCCTGCAGAAGAGAGGCAATATCTTCTCAAATAATTTGATGCTCCAAGTATTGTACGGGGACTTTGAGTGATGGCTGACACCAACCAGTCTCATGGTTGTCCTATTGATAATGGGGTTACCTGCTCCAGTGGGACCAGAGCTGATGGACCAGCAGGCACTGGAGCTAGTGGCATTCCCAGGCCCCTCCAGGCTGAGGCTCATCCTCCCCTCTCTTTGGATCCTCAGTCATAACAAATGGTTTATGCAGTGATTCCCAGATAAGGTGCTAATCTGTGCCTCTCCCTGTCCCTGCTCAGAGATGGCAAGGGGCTTTGCACAGGACAGGGCTGGCACAGATAGTCACAAATTTGGCCTGAGACATGCTGTGAGGGTTGTGCCCACTTGCTGGGAGCACCCCACCACAGCAAGAGTGACTGGGGTTATTGTTTACTGAAGGCTTCTGCAGTGGGCACTTGCTGCATGTGCAAATGATCGATGGAGACCCCACTGAGCCCACAGATTTATCTGACTGTTGAACCAAATGTGTTTGGTGGCAGGGATAGTTCGCTTTTCACTACAGTCTCTTTGATCCTAGGGCATCATTACAAAAGTGTCATCAGAAACAGAAGTTTATAAAATAACAATCTTGTATTTCTCCCTAGAAATTTGTTATTTCTGCACACAGATTGTTCATGAACTTGCTGTAGCTTTTATGTATTTTTGTGTAATTTGTGTTGGCTGAGCTCCTTTGGGTGGCCCCCTGGAAAGGGATGTCTCCTAATGGCAACAAGTGAACTACAGGGAGGAATGTACACGCAGATTGGAGGCCAGATTCTCTGTTGGTATAATTGGCATTGAGTCTACTGGAGAGCCACCAACTTTCAGCAGTGGAAATCTGGCCTCTTTTTGCCTTCTGAGCTTGTAAATCTGCTGCTTCCCTGCAGAGATTTAGACAAGAGGAAAATTCATGAGCATGAGCATTAGCAGAGAAGTGACTGGAAGGACAAAAGAAGTGGGTTTAAGTACAATGGTATCCACAGCAAGTTGTCTGTTTTCATCTGCAGCTAATTAAGACTATCTTCAGCTGTTCCTCCCCAAATCCTTGTCTTTTCCTCTTTCCTGCCACCCAAGGCCAGCTTCTCAGACAGCCACGGGATAGCTCAGTTGAACCTCAGCATTCCCTAGCACAGTTCCCCACCTATCCATAGGATCAGACCAAAAGGGAAGAAAATTAACAAATCATTGCCATGGGTTCATGTTTTAACTCCTTTCTTTCCCTTGAAAAGGTGTTTTGGTTGGCAGGATCTTTGTTGATCATTGGCCTGGCATCAGTGGTGAACCCAACCATCGGCTGGCGGTGGTTGATCAGAATTGCTTCCATTCCCGGCATCCTTCTCATCCTGCTGTTCAAGGTAGGAAGATCTCCACTCCCCACTGCACTGCCACTAACCTGATGTCTCCCCAGGCGCCAAGAGGCATTGCCCTCCACCCCCTGCAAGGCTGGGACTGTCCTTTAGTCCTCCTTTCACCATTTCAACCCTCTCACCCAGGAGCTTGGTAAGGTCCTGATGGCTTGGTGGGGCTCCACACCAGCTGCTGGGGAGATGTCACCTTGCCAGTGATGTCTTGGCTTTGCTGCTCCTCTGTAGCCCTTCAGCACCCCAGGTTCCAGTGTCCAGGATGCCAGCAGTACCCAGGGATTGGGGTGATGGGCCAGGCACTGAGAAGAAGACAGGCTAGGCAGGGTATGCAAAAAATCTCAACTAATATCCTCAGTCTAGTTTGGCCACAGTACACCCTCTTCAGTCTTACATTTTCTATGGCTGAGGAAAGCAGCCTCAGTAAAGTGTTCACAGAACATGTGAAGGTTGACCACAGCTTCCCCAGGTTTACTTGTCCTTCAGAAATATCAGGCTCAAGACATAAGAACCATCTTATTTGTGGGGGTGATGTGGAAAATCCCTATTTACAGTGTCCACAGGCACTCCAGTGCTGAGCTGTGGCTGGTGGAAGCCACGCAGATGTAAAAGCCCTTCCTGCAGCTGAATGAATGCACAAGTCCACCTGGGGTGCTCCCTGGGCAGGCAAATGCAAGGTCATTGTGAGCATCCACTTCTATAACTCTGATGTTTGGTTTCCCTGATTATTTTTGCCAGAAAAAAATGGATAGCAAAAGTTCTTAGTCCAGAAGAAAAAAAAAACACTGAGTCAGCGTACATACCTCTAAAAAAATGAGTCTTTAATTCATATTTCAGTGATACAGATGTAATTGCTTATAATTTAAAAGTATTTTATTTTGGAAAGAGCACTGAGTGTGGGTGAACATTGTAAATGCTAGGGAGGAGTGAGTTAGTTCCTAAATTTCAATTATGTTTTTCTTTTTATTAAAATGGCCTTGTGGTATCTTCCAGGACTTTTGCTTAAGTAAGTCACATGTGCCTCATCTCATTTTAGAATGTCAATTAATTCAGGATTGGTTTTGTTAAGCCTGTGTCTTTGGCTCCCACCTTTCATAAGTGCTAGACACAGATGGCTCAGTGGCAGAATCCTGGGAGCTGGACCAAGAAACGGGTTTGTTGGGCAGGGTGAGCCTCCCAAGCAAGAGATGTGGGGACCTGGAGGGGTACCCCAGGGCATGGCTGGGCAAGAGGACAGGCAAAAAGCTGCTTTGGCTCATGGAGTGCCCCTGCTAACCTGACCGGGTTCCTGGGCATGACAGGAAGCTGAGTAGGACAAGAGGGGTGCAGAAAGGCTTTCTGATGCCACTCTGCTTTCAGTTCATCCCGGAATCGGCACGGTACAACGTGTCCATGGGAAACATGGAGGCTGCCCTGGCCACGCTGCAGAGGATAGCCAGGATGAATGGAGCGGCGATGCCAGAGGGGGTGCTGAGGGAGCCCGCCAAGGTAAGTTGAGGTTGCATTGCTGCCCAGCCCATCCATCCTGGGCTTTTCTTTTGGACAGATTGGAATCTTGGCCCTCAAAATGGAATGGAGTTTTCTGCTTTTTTTTCTCCTCAATTTGTGTTGCTAAAAAGAATATTGTGCTAAGAAAAGGTTTATTTTCTTTACCATGAAAAGGGCTCCTGGCAAAGCACATTCTTCCTTATTGCCCATCCATCCCACAGGGGTGTTCCCTGTGCCATGAGACCTTGGAACTGCCCCTTGGGGTCCCTCTCAGGGCTGTGACCAGGCAGGCTGAAAGGATCCCTGCCATGAGGTCAACTCAGTGCTGCCAGAGGCTTCTCCCAGCCCCTGGCCTGGCTTGTCCACTGTGTCCCAGCACCTCAGGTTCCCTGAGAGTGGAGCCACTGACCAGCAGAAGAGGATCACAGCAGGAGAGACCATTTTGTCACAGCTACCACCATCTGCACCTGTAAGCAGCTGAGCAGCTCACAAGTTGATCACTGCTGGACTGAAATGCCCACAAGTGTATGTGAGTGTTTCAGGGCAGGCAGGAGAGGAGCTGGGGCCAGGCTCCTCCCAGGCTTCTCCTCCTTACCCCCCAGTCTGGGCCCTGCTGTCTGGTAGGTGGGAGGACTTAGTCAGGTGGCTCCTTTGGCCCCCAAGAGAGGAAGATTAGACAAATCTATTGTCAAGGGCCTCAAAATTAGTATCCAGCTCTTTTAAGTCCCTTTCCTGGACCTCTTTGCTGCTTATTCAATCCCACAGGCACCAAACATTGTCCTTAGCAACTCATGCAAGATGGTGCTATTGTATTGGAATTAATTAGGATTAAAGCTTCCCTGTAGTTTAATTGAATTTATGTAATGGACCTACATTGGCTGTGGGAAGCATTTTTGTTGGTTGTGCACCCTCTCAAGCTTAACCAATGAGGAGGAAAATAAAAATAAAGGCAAACCAAACCACTGCTGTGAACTCCTCTCCCCTCAGTGATGGGATGCTGGTGCACCTGCTGGTTCCTGGGGAGCAGCAGGGCAGGCAGGGTCCCCCAGTGCCTGTCTGTGTCTGTGCTCGCTGGCATTTCAGGCCAAAAACTTGCTTCACAAGCAGAGCAGCACTTGGGGCAATGAGAGCTGATAGCAGCCCCAGCAGTGCTGGCCCCATAAGAAGCAACCAAGGCCCCCTCTGGCTCCATCATGGTCACACTGGGGCCAGACTGCTGGGATCTGTGAGACCTGCTGGGTGTGCTCAGGATGTTCTTTCTCCCCCTTTCATCCTTTGCAGTGCATCCTCCTGTGGGCATCTTTTGGGAAGCGGGGCTTTCCTCTTTGCAGGTTTGGTGGGGTGCTGTGTTGCACCATCTGTCAGTCTGTGCCACCAGCAGCCTGGGGCGAGGGCAGGGAGGCCTGGGGTGCCAGATGCTGCCACAGAACATTTGCCCCTGTATAAAAGATGCCCTTTTTATAACTTCTATTTCTAACATATGGTTTGCAGGAAAGGGGAGGAAGATTCAAGGACCTCATCCACCCCAAATACCTCAGAACCACTTTGCAGATATGGATCATATGGTAATTTTTTTTCTCTTGTTTATCATCTCATTCTCTCAGTTGAAAGCGTGCAGAGAGTAGAAGTCTCCTGTTGACTCTGCCATTACAAGGCACCACTCTGCCTCAGATGGTGACTGCAGATCCTTGGCAGCTGGAGGGGAGTATGCAGACATGGATCACCACAGGTTTGCCCTGACCTCAGACCATTCCTCAGACACCCTGACTGGTTGCTTTTAAGAGAGGCAGAAAAGGGCTGGACATCCAGGGCAGCGTAGGGTGCCGTGAGTCCTTTCTCAGGACAGGGCAGGTCAGGGAAGGTTGACTGGGAACCAGGTGAGAGCCACAGGAGAAAGCCCACGCCTGCCTGCAGCATGCACCAGCCATGTCCCTGCAGCTCCGCTTCCCTTCTTGGTGTAAACTTGTTCTTCCCAAGAGGAAGATAAATATACCATCTTTGCAGGCCAGCCAAAGTCCCAGTGAAACAGGGCTCCGACAGAAACACATTAACCCGTTCCAGTTCCACTCACTGGGGAAAATTAAGATTGAAGAAATGGGTTTCATATGCAATGTTCCCAGTAGCTGTATGCGAGGATAATACATGTTTCATTGACTTTGCTGTCTGGAATGGAAATGTATAAATAATAGGTCCATGGGAACACATTGACCCAAAATGTTGCTAGCCAGGCTTTGAATTTTTTATGCTTTTTTTTCTTCTTGACTTGTTTTGAGTGTTATGAAATATCGTTTTGTTTTTTAGTCTTCCTTTCTCTCCTAGTCCTCTCAGGAGTTTCTGGCAGGTTCTTGGGTTTGCATTCCCACTCCCCGTGCCCCAAGCATCCCCTGCCTCCCCAGGCAGCCCAGAGTCTGCTGCTTCTTCCTGAAAATGCTGGGGGGAATAAAAAAGTGAAAATTACTTCTCAGCCTGCTTATGATTATGCTTATGCTGAATTACTTGATAATGACAAGGCAAGGCTGCCATCACCAATTCTGTATTCTGACAGTCAGTCAGGGTGCAATGTGAGCCTCTCCAGCCAGTTAATGAAAACTCCTCTTGAAAATCCCTGGGTAGAAAGGATAAGGACTAAAAAATAACCTGGGTATTTGCTTCACGTGAGCTGGAAATGTTGAGGCCTGATGTTGAGATTCCCTGGTTCCCCAGGAAAGGGTAGTTTGGAAATGTCTTCACTTACAACCCTGCATTAGGAAAGGGACCGAAGGGGCAGGCTTTCCTCAGCATGGCCACAGCAGGTCACCTGCTGCAGAGCAAGAAACAGAAATAAGGGGCAAGCAAAATGACAAGCATGACTGTGGTGGGTTGACCCTGGCTGGATAGCAAGTACCCACCAAAGCTGCTCTATTTCTCCCATATTCAGCTGGACAAGGGAGAGAAAATATGAATTAATGCTCGTGAGTCAAAGACAGGGAGAGATTGCTCACCGGTTACCATCATGGGCAAAACAGACTCGGCTGGGGGAAATTAATTTAATTTATTGCCAATCAAATTAGAGTAGGGTAATGAGAAATAAAATGAAATCTTAAAAACACTTTTCCCTCACCTCTCCCTTCTTCCTAGGCTCAATTTCACTCCTGATTTTCTCTCCTAGATGGCGGGGGCATGCCATGGGTGGCATGTGACCAGTGGCCTGGTGGGTGCCAGAGCCACTGTTTTGCTCAGGCTAAGAGCTGGTGCATGCAGTGGGGGTCTCAGGGCACCCAAAACCTGTTGCATTTTAGTTTCCTCACCTTCCCCATCAGAGCTGCACCTTATTTATCTTTTCTCCCCATAGGCTTGGCATAGCTTTCGCTTATTATGGTGTCATCTTGGCCAGTGCTGAGTTACTGGAGCGGGACGTCATCTGTGGCTCTGCAGCTCCACCAGTGCAGGACTCTGGCGATGACTCTGAGGAGAACCACAGCCCCTGCTACTGCCACTTGTTTGGGCCCGCTGCCTACCAGACCATGATCATCAGCACAGCCGGAGAGATCGCACGTAACCTCTGCTCCCCTCCCTGCCCTCCCTACTGCAGACAGCCAGAGTTCACTGCAAAGGTTTTAGCTGTGCATGCATTGCTGGCAACTTCTGGGGCACAGGCCATGAGCCCATGGCAAAGGGGAAACAGAGGGCATTGCTCCCCAGGTGAATAATTCAGCTTCTGATGACAGCACAGGTCCTTCCAGGAACAGAGCCAAAGACCTCCTTTGCAGTTAGTACGTACCAACAGCCTTGGTTAGACTCCAGGAGAAATTGCTCTTAACGTAACAGAACTGAGCCTGGCTTCCCAACTTCCAAGATATGCAGATTTTGGAAAGTCATAAACAAGCAAGGATTGCAAATAGTCAGATTGGCATAACTGAATGTACCACACAGGTGCCCTACTTTCCAAGAGATGGTGGCCTTGGGAGCAGATACGGTGCTGAGCACTACAGCAAAGGACAGCTAAGTGCCCAGGGAATCTACAGCAAACCAAAATGCTCCCTGGTGCAGCCTGCCTGGGAGCACTTTGGGGATGGATGGTAGGATGGCCTAAAGCATCCATGTGGCACTCTTGAAAGAACTTGGTGTGGTGTGTGGGTTTAGTGTTACAATATGCCTGAGAGGTGGATGTTTTCCCTGGTTCATGTCTCACCAGATGAACAACAAAGCAGTGGGGTGTTGGGTCCTGCAGGGGCAGCCAGGCTGGGATCAGTCCAGTGATGTGCTCAGGTGCCTGCTGGGCTCCTGGCTCAGTGGGGGACTCAGTGGGGCACATTCCAGGCCCTGGTGCTTGGCTGGGCTGTTGCTAGAGGGAGGAAAACCACCCAGGTCTGTGCCACTCACCCAGCGGGTGCCTTCCTTGCATGGCTCAGGACAGGCATTGGTGCCCTGCCTCAGCACAGCAGGGCAATTTCAAAGAAGCACAGGCTCTGTCATCTGAGGGGAAGGATGAAAAAAAAGGAGCATGGGGGCAAATTACAGGGTTTGGGTACAGGAAAAGAATTATAGGGTTTGTGCATTTTATAGAACATTTGGTAGGCAGTGGGGATGCAGAGAGGTGTCTTTGAGGCACACTGCATAAGGTCTATCAAGACAGGCAGTCATTGCAGTTAGATGATCTAATGTTTTATGGTTTTCTTTTTTATCTCCAGTAAATCCTCTGAACATTCTTGGCATCAATCTCCTCGGAAGACGTCTGAGCTTGTGTATCACCATGGCATGTACAGCCCTATTCTTTCTTCTCCTTAATATCTGCACCTCCAGGTACTCTGACTCAGACTGCGGGTCTTCTTGAGGGGCATGCAATGCTGAGGGCGAGACCTATGGTATTCTCAGGTCACCAGTCTGTCAGGCCAGTAATTCTTTTAGACCTGAAAAAAGCCTCTGACTAGTTCGCCCTCTTCCTGGGAAAGCTGTGGCAGCAGATGCTGTGGTGCAGTGGTGTGCAGAGGGGCTCACTTGTATTACTGAGCCCACATGGCTTCACCTAAGCATACAACAAGCTGCTTTTAGCACAATCTAGAAAAGAAGTAATATTTTTCATTCACTTTTTTCCCCTCTTTCTTTCTTTTTTGGAAATGTTACATATGTCTGCTCTAACTTGTAGAGTCAGGCCCTTCACGAGAGCTCAAGGCATCAAGGGAAAGTCTGCCACAAGTGCTGAAATTTGTCAGGATGCATAAGATTGATCCCTCTCGAGCTGGCAGAGCTTAATGGTTACTGAAAATCAGGATGGCTTCACAATGAAGTTTCCTCTAAACCACCTGGTAGCCTGAAGGCTGCTCGCCACAGGCGTACATCCCTTCCCGATGGAACACCGGTCCTGGAGGCTGGCTGGAATACTTGGGAGCTGGAGTGGAGGCTGCAAATAGTTGTTAAGCTAAATAAGCTGGGGTCAGGAAGCTTCCAGTCATTCAGTGAGCTTCTGTACTGCTGTTAGTATTTTCAGGTTTCCTTAAAGCTGAGCCTGACCATAATATCTTCTTGCAAAAGTTTTATATAGGGACCAAAAGGGAGGGCCAGGCTGGAAGTCAAGGCTTGACCATGACGCTGAGGGCACCAGCTGAGCCACTCAGGTCCTGTTCAAATCATTTCTCTAGCCTCTAACACTGGCTTAAAGGAAACCTTACATGCAATAGCCTGTTGTCAAACACGCCTCGAGGATGGACTAAGAAAAGATTCTCCTTGTCAACAATCAGCTTTTCCTTATGCTTTCCCTTACATTAAGCTGGTTAAAGCCTTAGCACAGTGCATATATTAGGTTGTATCTCTGCTGATTTCTGCTCAGTGATACTAACTCTGCCCCACGTGGCTTTCTCTCTAGTGCCGGCATGGTTGGGTTTCTCTTCATGCTGCGTGCCTTGGTTTCAGCAAACTTCAACACCATCTACATTTACACAGCAGAGGTGGGTCCTCCTTGAAGTTTGTTATGCTGCTTGAAATACCATTTGCATATACCCAAGAATGCTACCTACTAGTTTATTGACTAGTTAGTCACCTTTCTTGAACTAAGTATCTCTGGCTTCTTGGCCATGCTGTTTTCACATGCAAGATCAGAGAAGGAATCAGAAAACCAGCTGGAGATGACAGGAGCAGGTGGAAGAGAAATGCTCTACTGAGCCAGCTGCTGAAAAAACCCCACTATTTTTGAAGGTGTTGGGTACCACCATCTTTCAAACCCCACAATCTTTCCCCTCTCTAACCCCTGCAGTTAGAAAATAGGCTACCACTAAAAGGAACCTTTTCCAGCACTTAAGGGACTGATGTAGTAATACTGAGGTAGTATACGAGGTTATGTATATGATTCTTTTCACTTAATGGAAATTGCTGTGTTCTGTCTGCAAATAGTTTTAATCCTTCAGAGAGCTTGTCCTTCATACAGCTTTGTTCTGCGAGCTAAATATGCATTGTTGGTTTTTTTTGTTTTTTTAAAAAAACAATTGTATGGAGTTAAATGTATTTCCTTGCAAGTGAGTAAAGTGATATAGAGCAAACACAAGTAGCTCCCCATGTTGGCCTGATACTTCTTTTAATAGTGCACTATAATATTTAAACTTGCACCAGGTTTGAATAAATACTAAAATTTTAGTAGTTTTCATTGGTGTTGACGCACAGAGCATTGCTGCAACAGCCACATCATAAAACAATTCTACTCACAATTTAATCAATGGTCAAAACCAAACTTGAAAATCCCCTTTTAAGCCATGTGCCTGGACTCTTATTGAATTAACTTATTCCATTTACTTGGTCCAGTAAGGTATTTGAACAAAGGCTCATGTTGCTAAAATCTGTTAAGAGGACTTAAAAAAGTTAAAAAAAATTTCATACTTAAAAGTGTTTTACTGGCACAGGTGTTTGGGAGATATGAAAGATAAACTACACAAAACATATTCTTCTAAGCCTGGAGCTTTCTTACTGGGATCTGTTTTTTCTTTTTCCTTCTTCTAAACAAAAGTGTTGCTGAAATAAATGAATAGGCAGTCTTGAAGGCTGCAGACAATGTTCTTTCTTCCTGCTTTCCAGATGCGGGCCCAGCAATATTAATTGAATTCTTCCTTTAGCACCCAACTCTGTGACTTTGGTGTGAGCTGCCCAGTGTAGCTGGGAGAAAGGTGACAGTAGTGGTGCTATGCAAATGCAGGGGAATCACATCCAGCTTTGATTGACTTGCCCTAAAACTTTAGTTGGGGCAAAAAATGACAGATTTGTAATGGCCCAAGTGAGACCTAAAGCAGCCTTTCTTTCTTTTCATTTCTTATCCCACTAGCTGCCCTTGATAACACAGCGGGTCTCTCTGAACAAAAATTAACAACAAAAAAGGTACAGATATCACAGACTGGTGTTGCATTAATCCAGTTTCTTTCTGGCCTGTTTTAGGTTTATCCCACCACAATGCGAGCCCTGGGGATGGGAACAAGTGGGTCACTGTGCCGTGTTGGAGCTATGGTGGCCCCATTTATATCACAAGTAAGAGCATGCTTGATGATGTCAGTAAACATTGCGATCATTGCTGTCAAATATACAGAGATACCCCTGACGTTCATCCAAATAAAAGGGTGTAATCAATCCCCCACTCCCAACCCCATATACAGAGTACTTAGGTGGTCTCTGACAGATATAGCTCCGCATAATTCTCATCATGGAGTTCGTCTTGGTAGTATTTGTCACTTCCTGAAAGCTCTTAAGATTCATGAGACATTATTTTTCTATTGTGGAGTCTCTCAGCTCTTTGTGACCTTTTGTTCACTCTTAATTCCTAATTAAGTGCCAGCCCCCCATACCACCAAGCTCATGTTCGATGTTCTTTTGCCTGCAGGTCCTTATGAACGCTTCTTTCATTGGGGCCCTGTGTCTTTTCTCATCTGTGTGTGTTGTCTGTGCGATCTCTGCGGTCACACTGCCCATCGAGACCAAGGGCAGGGCCCTGCAGGTGTGTATCACCACCCCAGCAGCTCCTGTGTATCTAAATGCTGTTTAGAGACTGGAGCTGATGATTCAACCAGAATCCAAACTGAACTCTCCTGAGGTTTCATAAGCCAGATAGGCAAGCACAGGAACACGCTGTTGCAGCAGCTTAAAGCACTGTTATTCCAGCTGCCTAAAACTTATTTCTTGTAAAAGAACAAACCAGAATGCCAGCTCCAGCCACCTTAGCTTACATGTGAGTGTGTTAGCTTTAGCTCGTGCAAGCCTCTCTTCATCCTAGCTTCAATCCAGACTTTGAAGTTGCTACTTCATAGGGACATGTTCTGGTTTGCCTGTGCTGCAAGGAGAGAGGACAGCAGATGCATAGAACACTTTAAACTACAAAAGCCATTTCTTCATCAAATTCAGGGCTACAGGACTCCATCAGTTCACCAGCTAAGCCCTTAGAGTTAGCGTTCTCTATAAAGCAAACAGCCAAAACACTAAGCACAAAGATTAAGGAGGCAAGTTTAAATTCAGCCAGCCTCCCATGTGCAAGTCACACTAGCCTAATTAGAGAAGGTGGTGAGCACTTCTGTGATTCCAGTCAGTTCATCTATACTGGCATGGCATGCATGCAGCATGGTCACATCACTCTGTGTCACTCTGCAGTCTTACCTGTATAAACCACAACACCATGGGCTAAATAATCCATACTCTTTAGCAGCCTAAAGCATGGCAGATGCTTGATCAAATTGGTTTATGAGGGCTTCAGAACTAGACTTCAAAACTCCCACATATACAAACACACATGTATTATATACAGACACACACAAACACACACTCTTAACTTCATTGGGTCACATCTTCTCAGGTTCCCCCAAGGTTCACGGGACAATTAACATTAGGATTTTAAGGGTTAACAAATTAATTGCTGCCTGCTTCCTTAAATGACTGCCTTTTAGAAACGCATGTGCTTTATGGTTTTATGTAACTTGAAGTATCTGTATAATATTTCCTAGAAGACTGGGGCGAGGGGGGGGGGAAATCAAAGTTTACATAAAGAAATGGCTAAACCAACCTATTCTTCCCTTCTGGGTGAAATTCAAACCCATACAAAGAGGTCAGAGAGCCACTTAGGCCTTCATAAGGTTGGCTTTACAATAATTACTAAGGAAAACACTTCATTAAAACTGCTTTAAATATAAAAGCTTTGATTCAGCTACAGTTAGAATAACTTTGGCTAACAGTGGTTGAGAAAAATGCAAGTGTAATGGTTCCTTAATGGGATCTCTCTTTTCCTGGGGCATTCAACTCAATTAATTTATTATCTTCCTTGTTACAAATAAGTTATAAATTCCAGCTGCTGGCCTTTACATGGCACAAGTCAAAAGAACGGAAAAATAAAAATCTGTAGAACTAGTTGTGTAGGCAGAGAAGCGCCCTCTAGATCTTGAATTCAACTTATGACTCTTATCTCATGGTCATTTAAGAGGTTACATTTCTGTCGCGTAGCCACTCAGGGATTGACGAATCGTGACTGTTGAACATGTCGTCCAAGGGCCTCACACAGTACAGTCATCCAGTCCACACAGGAATTTAAATACAGGATGTAAAAGCTCTTCTAACATGGCAATATTTAGTGCTAAGGCTCCAGGCAATGGATATGTTCCTTAAAGCTAGGTCAAAATGAACCAACTAAATAAAATCTATGTAACTTTTTGTGAAATCTAGACACTGACATTTAAAAAGCAGATCTACTCATTTCAGATTATTAGGACAGTATCAGTCCACTCTCAAAGCAGTCAGGGGATTGTTTGTCAGAAGCGAGACCTTTTGGACATATCCAAATGCATATTATTTTCCACTGTATCCATTTCTGTTGGTCTTCATGTGCATTTTATTAATTTTACGTATTTTTTTTCTTTTCCCTTTTTAGCAAGTAAAATGAAAACGAGTGTTTGATGTTGGACTGGGTAGGAAAGAAAAATAAACCTTTGGAATCTGTCATTTCCTGTGAGCTGCATTTGATGTTGATTGCTTCTCCATACCATTTCCATTATAAAAAAATTGCAACTGAACAGTGTGAAAGTTATGATTTGTATAGAAAAATGGCAAATTTCTCAAAGATGTTCCTTTTCTTATGATTCAATAAATAGATGCTTTCTACCCTTCCTGTAAAGTGAGATGATGAGTCTTTACTACTGTCAGTAGTGACACTGAACACACACACACACAAAATAATTTAAAAAAAATTACGAAACCCGTTCAGTGGATTGAGCTAAAGCGGGGGGGGGGAATACACAAAGAAGATATGGTCTTTGCCATAGCAGCTTGAAAGAATATAATACTTTCCTCAACTCTTTGTGCATATATCATCTGCATGAAGTAGCAAAAATTTAACATCTCAAATGTCACTACAGTGACAATTTCTGAAGATTGTTAGGGTGGTGCCCAAGACCACAAAATAAAAGGTGAGTCATATTTTTTCCAGTGGATTATTTAAAAAGAGACATTTTCAAGCAGTTTACAGCAGACAGCTAAGTAAGGACTGTAGGAGTACATCTACTCTCCTCTCCCCCAGTGTTTTCCACCAGGATAACTTGAGAATGGAGCTGAATAGGTGTCCAGCTTCACCTCTAAATGCATTAAAAGCCTCCTAATAAATCTGTGCTTGCAACTTGTGGTCCGGGGAAACACACAGCACCTTCTTCCTCTGGAAGCACTGTTAAACTTGGTGCCGGGGTATCTAGGACTTCTAGGCTTTGCCGGATCTTTAAAAGTTCAAATATTGCAATGGCAGTGCCTCTTCATTTTTTCAGTCTGTGCTACTGTGGTGCGCACTGATCACACTTGTTTAGCTAGAATGGTCTCCCTCACTATCTTGTTCTGCTCCTTAACCTCTCTTCATTCTTTTTCTGGTACTCTAGGATAGTAGAATTTACAAGCAATTCTCTTCAGGTAATAAAAAATTTCCATAAAAAAGCAAACCAAACCACAAAAGCAATAACAACAATGATAATAAAACCCCCACGAAAACAAAGCACACAAACAAACTAACAAAAAAACACAAAAGAAAGAAAAATAGAAAATAAATGGTTGCTCAGGGCAGCCTAAAAATCCACCACATGATCAAAAGCTATGTCAAAGGCTTGCTGCAAACACAGCTGAGTCATCTTTGGGAGTGTCCTCTACATTTTAGTGTGCAGTGCCACCCTCTGACAAAGGCAGGTGGGCAGCATCTCACTGAGAGGCAAAATCAGGGCCTTTTTCTGAGTGCATGTGTACACAGCAGGGAGGCACAAACAGCACTTGTATCCACTCTCTTCAGTGATGTATCCACAGCACCACATCAGGGCTACACAGCAAGTCAAAAGCAGGCTTGTGTGCACTCAGCTGTCTTCACAATTCCCGCTGAAAAATTCTGGCACGATCAGAGCTCAACTACTCCAAAAGACTGTCTGCTCTCCTGAACACTCAGTTTTCATTTACGATTACATAAATGAAGATTATAAGCCAATAAGTGGGGCAACCATAGACAAGTACTTCACTAACTCTGCAATCTCTGAGGGCAAAACCAACCATCTATGTTGTCAGAGCTTCTGGGAAGTAGACAGAACAAAATAAGGTAATTCATACTCATCTTCTGGTGATTGTTACAGGGACAGATGAAGGCTGAAGAGCAGTATCTTTCTCTTAAAACTTGTGTACTCCCAAGTTGGTAACAATGGTTACTTCCACTGGTTACAACAATGGTTGCATTTTGACAACAACATACTTATAAATTTGGAAAAAGAACAAGAACTTGTGGACACAAAGGATGATTTTTCCCCTCTTTAAACATACATAAAGACTGACTGATAGTTGCAAACAAACTTTCCCATCAACTTCATTAAACAGAGGTACATCACACGAGACACCTGTTAAACAAAACAGTACAGCAATACCATTGTTTCTTGCTGGTGGTGAGAAAAATGGTGCAAACCAATGTATTCTGTCCTTTACTTCCTCCATTAAAAACTCTCAAACAAGTTCCTTTTCTTCCTTTTTTCAAAAGTTATTTTTAATACACCCCCCCCTTACATTTTAAAATTCCCAATAAGTTCTTGGGGGGCAACTACACTTTCACTGTACCAATCAGTACTGCAGGACAATAACATTACACCATCCTTTTTCATGGCTTGTGTTAAATACAGTACAAAAAGATCAAATTATGGCCAGCCACATGCCTTTGGTAAAATTAAAAGTCCGGTGAGATCACATTTTCTTCAAATTCAGAAAGCCACATGTTGAACCCATGTGATGTTTTGAAGTTCAATTCTATACAAACTTCTTCCTCAAAGCTAAGTTAAACAGCTGTCACCCCACAAAAATGGCAATTTCTACGCTGCTCCAGAAAAGAGATGAAAGTTTTGAACTTCAGAGAAGCTCTTCACATGCCTTGATCTCCACAGATTTCTGTTTCAGACAAGGGGTAGAAAGTCTGGCAAATATTCACAAACCTACAAGTCAAAACAGTGGTAACAGTGATAAATATTCTCAGTTTTTAAAAAATTTTTCGTAGTAACACATGTGGCTCATTTAAGCAACTGACGGTCTTCTCCTTTGAGGCGTTTCTTTCGGGGTTGTACAAAGTCATCGTCTGAGTCATCAGTGAGTTCTGTATTATCTTTTTCACTCTGGACATTGGGTTGTACAGGGAACTTTCTCTCAGGATAAAGGTTCCTTAGAAGTTCTTCAAAGTACGCTTCAAGTTTCATGCCGGCGTCGGCCACTTCTGAATCAGGCTGTTGGGTGAATTAACAACATCAGTGCATAATGAAATAGCTTTATACTCACATCACATCAGGTCTTTCAGGCAAAAACTACAGAAAACATCAATCAGCAGCAAGAATGGCACCTGTGGAACACATGGTCCCAAAGAGCACAAGCCTCCAAAACACCATGAGCGTAAATCTTTCAGCTGACACCCTCAAGGACCTTTTTCTCTGAGGGATTACCACAGAAGCCAGTCACAAAAGCCATACTGCCTGGGTTCTGAAAGCTATTTGAAGAGATTCTAAAACCTCTTAAAACCTAACTGGGGGGCATGGGGGGGGGGAAAGAAGTTGTGCTATGCTGTGAAATGTGTAGGTATATCTTCAACGTGTTAGAATTTCTCTAGCTTACAGACAGTTTTTAATAATGGTGATAATATTACTTGGTAGACAATGACTGTAACATGGAAGACTACGCAGTCCTAAAGTCATCCAGAGCCACCACAGCTGATCAGTTTCCTGAAGCAGAGATCACCACAGCAGGAATGATTCCCAGCTGTAAGGGGTCACTGGATGAGAACCCCACTGAGGCCACTTAGAGAAGCCTTTATTCCCAGTGTAATTCTCTCTCATTCTGTGGTTCGCTCAGTACCCATAACCCTTTTACACCACATGTTCCCTTACGTGCAGCATGGGATAATAATAACAATCACTCAACATTTAACTTGAAATCATAAGGGTGAGTACAGAGCTCCCAGAATGAAAATCCCACTGAATCTAAGATCTGCGGCGAGGAGGATTAAACCAGTTTTTAAATCAAATGCCCACCATTGCAGCAATTGTCCTTTTCTTTACCTGCTGTCCTGCCATTCAGCTAGCATGTTTGTTACAATCCTCCTTCCTTCTATGGAAAGATCTCCACTGCATAATCATCTAACACCACAGCAGCATTCAATGGGATCTGTATTTTCACTGCAGTCCCATCGTCAAAGTACGCTTAATACAATAAATTCTTGCATTGCAAGTTCTACCCCCATTACAGTTTTCCTGAGAGAACTAAACCTACAAAATCTGACACAGTATCTAGTTTTCTAACCTCATTAAATTCAGCACAGTTTTGGAAAATCAGTCTGAAATCAGCCACAAAATCTTCTGGCTTTGTGTAGAATGAATTGGTCACTTCAAGTCTTCTCTTGATGGTTGATAAGTCCATAGGCTTTTTGATTATTTTGTAGTAATCAGGAACCTAAATGGAGAGAAAAAATTTTACCAAATGCAGTCATCTTCATTACTTATTGTTTTATAAACCTTTAGATCTGAGGGAGTGGGCAGGGTTTAGTCTCATCTTCAAAGTACAACTCTGAGATACAAGAATTACACTTTTAACATACATGTAGACAGTTTCTGGAATAACAGTGACTTATGACAGTTTTGCTGGCTAAAATATACTCCTTGCAATGCCCATTTTAAAATCGAAGAGAAACAAATACAACTTCCACCTACAATGACCACATATAATAGAGCAAATGACTTGGTCTGGACATTATTTTCAGATGTAGTCAAATAAGCTATCTATTAAGACTTATTTTCAAGACCACCATATGATAACTAAAATGGAGATGGTAAATGAGTTGCTTAAAATGAGGTTTGGTCATGAAATATGTCCTTTGAAATGGTGGCAAATTTCAGAGATGATTTTGACACTCAAACTGTGGTTGTAGGACTAAGATTTATTTTTTCTTTAGAAAGAATTAGAAATTAGAAAATAAGATATGAAATCCAATGGTAATATTTTTATACTTTTGTCCTAACTAGATTCACATTTTAAGAGAAATGCTGTAATATCTGAATTTAGTAACACATGACCATCATATGATTAATCAATTAATCTCTTGTGTCATTTCTTATTATTAAACTCTCTGATTTGTTCTTCAGAATTCCTATTCAAATGGAATAAAGGCTGCAAAGGAGCATATTACTTACTGAATTCTTCCCCCATTGGCTTATCTTAAAGAACATCTTCTCATCTGATCACACTGGTAACTCTTCTGTGTGTCCTTAGACTCCTAATGCACCCAGGTATTGTTTACCATTTTAAACTAATAAATTTCAAGCTAATAATAAGAAATTCAATTTCATATTAATACTATGGAGTACCCTAATTCTCAACATCAGGTGGTATTTAAAAAATCTAAATATATCGCAATTCACCTTTTTAGTGATATCACTCAGCACATGATATTAGCAGACAGGGTCAGAACTTACTTTTTTAATCTGTTTTTTAAGTACTAAGTAAAATCAGTTATTGGGGAATTTTAGTTGTAAATTCCCTTCAACTTTCAACTTCCCCCTTCAGACAGTTTTAATAAAATTAAACACATTTAATACACTCAGTGTCTGGGGAACT